GGAGCTCCCGCCGCGCCCCGGCCCCGCAGAGCGCCCCGCCCGCCGCTCCGGGCCCGGCTGCCGCGGCCGGGCGTAGGGCCGGCTCCGTGCCCGCACGTCCGGAGGCCGTAGGTAGGTGTGCCCGCAGCGCCGGGTGCTGTCCGAGACGAGAAATGTGACAGCCCGTGCAAAATACGGTCCCGCTGCGGTTTGTGTCTCCCTTCTGCGACTCGCTGGGTACTTAAATTCCCTTTGGCACGTTAACAGGGCTGTCCAGGCACTTTGCACTTTGTTTCGTAAGTGAATAAGTGCTTTTCTTTCTCTGTGTATTGAGTTGCTATTGAATTGCTTCCCATATTTTTATTTCATACAAACTGAACAATTGTGGCCCCTCTATTTTATTTATAAAGGTTCAGTGTATCTTTGCCTGCCTACATCAATCTGCAAGGGAGTTGCAGAAAAGCCTCATGTTCATCGAGCCGTGAGTCACAACCAATTTTTAAAGCTGTTATAACAAAAAAAAAAAGTGTTTGCTTTTTTTCACAAGTAACTTTAAAAGTGTAGCTTAGAAAGAAAAAAAAAACTTAAAAAAAATTTCAGTAGACACAACATTATTCCTGGATGCTTGTGAATCCTAAACTATATTCATACTTTAGTATTACACATACCTGTGTCATATGCACAGATGAGCTTTAAAATTGTCACATACCATTACCACTTTGCCTTTACTTTTATGTATCATTCCCCTGACTTCCTTACTGCAGGTGTGGGCAAGAAAGCTTTTCCTTTAAAACTTTTCAACAATGGGCATAAAATTCTGCAGCTGAGGTCTTGAAGAATGCAGATGGGTATAGTATGTGTTGGAGCTCGCAGTGTGTATTGACTAACTTTGTTCCTTTTTTTATTATTTATTTTGTTGCTTTTCTGATATTGTCTCGTTTAAGTGGCTCCTGAGTGTAAAATGTCCTCTGAGGGTGGGCTGTGGGTGGGGAGCCCGTGGTGTGTTCCAGGCCAGGACCTGCCAGCTCCTCCCTTGCAGGGCCTGGGAGAGCACACCCTGCATAGTTGGGTTCCAAACCCAACGGACTGATGGCTCAATTACCACCTGAGCAAAGAGCAGTTGCCTGTAAATTTTGCCCAGCACAGCCCTGTTTTGTGATCTGATAGTGTGGGGTTTGGTATCTCCTGCCCCTTCTTCACAGTAAGAAAAAGAAAAGGTGGAAAAAATAAACAGGTTTTGGCTGGGAGCCAGCCTGTCTGTCTCCTTTTCTCCTCTGGCTGTGCTGCTTCTTTATGTGGATGACAGGCCTTGGACATTGCTTGGCTCGCCAGCACTGTGTTTAACATGGTGTCCTGGATGAATAAATGCTAAAGTAGTGTTTGTTGCCAATTGTAAGTGTTCCAGAATATCCTGTTACCCTCTAAGCTTTTTTTTTTTTTTTTTGAGTAATTTTGGGGAGCAGGAGCACCAAATATTTTAATCTGCATATTGAGGTGAAATGTTCATGCTGATGCCTGTGTTCTCTTGGTGTTCTAATGTCTCCTTATTTAAACCACACATGAATTTCAGGAGATGAAACCAGACAAAGGGTGAAGTTCACAGACGACCGTGTGTGCAAGAGCCACCTGCTGGATTGCTGTCCTCACGATATCCTGGCTGGAACAGTAAGTGTGTCCTCTGGAGCAAGGGGTTCTGCTGAGGAGGATGTTGGTGCCACTCTTGTCTGTGCAGGGTGGGTGACTTCTAGGAGAGATCAGGCTTTCTGTGCTCAGGGAGCACTCACAATCCTAATTCCACTTCCTGTGACCTGTGTATGGAACTGCTCTCACTTCTCAAAAAAACAAACAAAAAAAAAACAAACCAGGAGCTCTCACAATTCACCTGAAATGCTTTTTCTTTCACAATCCTGTGAGAAGTTGGAAAATTATTTCTGTTTTAGCAGTTTGAGATAGTCAGAGCTTGCACCTTGTCCTGTGGTGGTTCCAGGCCTGTAGCTAGGCTGCTGCCCTGGTTCACTGCTGCATCTTCAGGTTAGCAAGTGTTTCCTTAGCAGCTGCATGAATCCTTGGAGATTTTGAGTCTCCTTTCCCCAGCCCTGATGGAAGAGCAGCTTTTCTATTGTTAATGTGGTGATGATGGCAGGTCACAGCTCTGGCTGAGTGTTGGTTGTTTGAGCTGCTTGGTTGTTTGTGTCACTCTGCCTGACTGGTTTCAAACAGTTGTCTCAGCTCTTTTGCTGCTCCCTGTGGGAACAGAGCTGGCCTGTGTTCAAAGGTTTGGCTCATGTGCCACCTCTGAGAGCAGAAGGTGATGTTGGCTTTAGCAGCGAGCTCTTGTGAAGGCAGTGTTCATTTGAGGCTCCCAGATGAAAGCTGCAGTCTGCCTTTGGAAAGAAAACTGTCTTTTGTCACCATCACTGTGCAGCAGTCGCAGGGTGGAGGTGATTATGGATGTTTGAAATCCATCTTTGCCCTTCCTTTTTTCATTAAATACTGTGGCAATTCACAGTGTCTGTCCACTTAACCAGATTGTTGAAAGATGCTGGTTATTTATAGCCCTCCCTGCTGCTGCCTGGGAGCTGGCTGGACACAGTGGGTCTCCAGCAAAGGGAGGCTGGCACTGCTGCCCCTGCTTGTGTCACTCCATAGCAGCAGTGTGGCAGCACTGGTAGAAGGAGCTGCCTCTGCTCTGAGCACTCAGACTTTAGCTTCTCAGTGGCTGCCTTTGCAGAATAAGATTGGAAAAGCTGAATACCAATCTCTGTACCTCTATTTTTTAAAATTCATTTGAAGCTCAGATGTATTTTGCAGTGATTGTTCCATCAGCTGCCATATGAGTTCACCTCCATTTCAGAATTTTAAACTTCTATCCTTTGTATAGGTCACTGTGGTCAGGGTATGTTTTTTGACATGAGATTCTAGAACAGTTTCTTGGGGCCCAGAGGGTGTTTTGAAGATGAAGACTGCCTTCTACCTCTTCTGGCAGGTTTTCAAAAGAGGGTAAATGGTGAGTTGAAGGGGTAGTTCAGCATAAGTGGTGTGTGTGAGCTGGTGCCAAAGCGTGGAGGAAGTCTGAAGTGTGGGTTGTGAGTCTCCTGGGGCGGAGAGAGAAGCAACTTGAGGAATTTCTTATGCTTCTGTTGTTGCTTGTCTTGATTGAGGTGTCCTTTCCCTCTCGCTGTGGAATTTGTGCTCAGAACCTGCAGGAGCAGGAAGAAAGACTGCTCCTGCACAAGTGATCTTGTGGCTCACTCACATGATTGTGTGGTGGCCTTGAAGTGGGTGTGGAGCTCTACACCTCTACTGGGGGCCAGAGCAAGTGTTGGTGCTGCAGATCTGTGTTGAAAGAACATGTGATGTCCAGAACAGGAAGAGCATTTCAGCTGTCACTGCTGCCAGTACAGAGTGAAACTTAGCTGGAATGTGCAGTCCTCCCTCGTGATCTCAGGCAGCTTCACTGGCACTTCACAGTGCTCTGCTAAGGAAGAGCTGTATGGGTGAATCTGTCTGAGCTAGGTGGGGTATAATGCAGCTCTGGGTATATTACTGCAGAAATCAGGACCTTGGACCTCTTGGAAACTTCCAACAGATGTTCCAAGCCTTCTGGTGCTTGCTGTGTTGTGTCCTCCCCTAAGGCATTGTTACTGCTGCATCCTTCATGTGTGCAGATATTCCTTAGTGGGAAGCTGATTGAAGGCAAGCAGGAAGCTGATCCCTTGGGGAGCTGTGCTCAGTGAAATGTGATGGAGTCCCACTCACTGACCTTCAGGTGCAGAGTAAGAAAAGGAGTCCAGACTGTAAGCAAAGCTCTGGAATATTCCTGAAGGCTGCAGGAGTCCTGTTGATGTTTGCTTTGTTTAGGTGCACAAGTGTTCCTGATTGTAAGAGTTGTCATTTTAAGTTGGTTTGTTCCTGTGATTATTATCTTTTTGGCCTCAGAAACTTGTCTAAACTTGCCACTAAACAACCTACAGTGGTTCTCTTTGGTCTCTGTGGGTAAGGAGGAACATTTTGGGAGAGCAGGAGTTGGTTTAGTGAGCCCATGGGCTGTTACCTTGTCATCCACATCATTTGTGGTGAGTGCTGAGTTCTCTCTGCATCTCATGGTAAGCAGATTTCTGTCAGTGAAAGTATTGTAGCTCATTTGGAGATGGCATCAGCTGGAATTCTCCTGAATTTCAGCTCCACTAAGAGGTGGACAGATGAGCCTCAAAGCTACCCAGATTGAACATACCTTGGAAATTACATCCAGAGAATTATTGTGTCCCCTACTGGGGAATATGAGTTGAAATCTGTACATTCTAGAATTGTTTTTTGTGGCTTGAGAGGGGGTCTGTGCTTTCTTTTTTCACTTGGATGAAACTCTGCATCTCTGATCACTGTTAAAGCATCTTAGTGGAAATTTCATTTTGTGGTGAGCTTCCAGTTCAGTGGAGATCATAAGAGATACCTCAGAATGTGGATTTCTCAGCAAATGTGAGCAGGACTAATTATCAGTGACATCTAAATGTTTTCAGTCTTTGTGTATGTGTGTATGTGGAGTTAAATCTTTGCTCAGGCTCTGCTGGTTGCCTGTCTCACATACCTGTGTTATAAACCAGCCAGTGTTGACTGGAGCAGGTCATGATCTCTGTGGGAAGGAGGGTATTCTATGACAGCCCTCCCTGGCATGAGAGGAGGCTTTGTGGCAGAAGGGCTGGTGGTCCTACCCCAAGTGAGCAATACCTGTGGAAGTCTCCTTGCACTTCAACATCTCAAAGGACATGGAGGAAGATTTGAGGTTTATAAGCTAGTGACAACTGAATGTTCTTCCCTCAGGCAGGTCAAGGGATTTGTTGCCTGTTAACAAGCAGGGAGAGGAATAGGGAGCTTCAGAACATGCATTGTTGGCTGTTCTGAAGTGGTGAGAGCCCCTTCTCTGAAGTGGGGTTATTGGCTCAGCTTGCAGGAAGAGCTCAGATAAGAATATTTATGATGTGTGACAATCACATCCAATACCATTATTTCCTCCCTATCTTGGAAAGTGATCTCAGTAGAATGACCAGAAGAATGAAAGATGTGTCACATCGTGGAAAGTTATTTTTGTGGTAAAATAACAGTAACTCTCTAGCATTCTTTGAAGTGGCTTGCCTGAAGTTGAGCATGATCAATCTCTAAAAGTACCAATGTGCTTTTTTTGTAAGCATTACATTTCTATCATTAGAGAGCTCAGCAGGAGTATTCTGGATGCAGTGTCTGTCTGTTTCTGTGGCCTGCTGCCTCTGGCCTCCTGGTTCTGGTAAATCTGAGCAAAATGAGGAAGGCTAAATAGTGCCAAGTCATCTGGATTTTTTCCTTTTCTAGAAGAGCAAATTCAGTAATAGGCACCTGCTGAAAACCTGAGAATAAACTGGTAGAGTTTGCTTTAGTTGCTTTGCTTCATTCTAAACACTGCTTTCTGAGTGCATTGTTTCATGTAAGCATCCCCAGCTTTAGTTTGTGGTATTCCACAGGGATTCAGGGTTATCCCAGTTCAGCTTTCTCTGCAGTTCACTGAGTTGACACCTGTTGTGCATGTTGAGGTTTGGGCTCCTGGGGACTGGTGGTGACAGTGAGAGAAGAGGGTGGTGAGGTGGGCTGTTCCTTCATGCAGTGACATGTACCCTGCCATTCCTACAGTGGTTCACAATTAGGGATTTTATTATTTTGGCTTTCAAGGTGTCATTTTCTACTCTAAGAGTAAGAGAAAGGTTCTTTGTTACAAACTGATAATGTTGAAATGCAGCTTCCATGTCTTGAGAACACAATCGACTTGGGTTCATGTGGCTGTTAACAGCTAGGTGGGAGAAAAAATAACAAGTTCAAATAGCATGGAGAGCAGTGGGAGGGAAGGGCAGCTTTCTGGGAAGAGAGATGCTCTTAAGTCTCTCATTAAATGGGCTTATGTGTAGGACTCTGCTTTGCTGGGCAGATTTTCAAATTCCAGGCTGCAGCTGGAAGTGGGAAGGGTCTGGCTGTGGAATTAACACAGTCTGGCTGTTGTTACTGTGTGTGGGGTTGTGCATTTCTGCTGGCTGTAGCCCTTAATCCTTTTAAGTCCTTTTGTTGTTGATAGGAAGCATTCTGTGTGTATCCTACAATTTGGTATGCCATATGTTACTTGGGCTCATCCTGACACAGATGTGCATTTCCAGAGGAGCTTTAAATCAGGTGCAGGTATGTTTTCCTGGGCTGTGGCTCCAGGACAGGAGACATTTGCAGCTGGTGCCTGTTGAAGGGGACCTATCTCCCTCCCAGCCATTTCTGAGGCTGTCCTGGGCCTTAGAGCAGGAGTAGGACTGGACTTAAAGCATTTGGGCTGTTTTAAGGTTCCCAGAACATCTACAAAATGAGTTCTCGCAAGCATGTGGTTCTTCTGGCTGGTTCTGGTTAAAAGAAAAGCTGCTTTTCATGAAAATACTTTACTGTGATATGATGCAGTTGGCAAGAGACATCTGCTGCTTGTTGCTGTAACGGAGGGTTCTTATGTGGGTTCTCCTTTTTCTTCTAACAGAGAATGGACCTGGGAGAATGTACAAAGATCCATGACTTGGCTCTGCGAGCAGATTATGAGATTGCAAGTAAAGAGAGAGACCTGTTTTTTGAGCTGGATGTAAGTACGGAGAAATTTTAATTACTTTTGGGGAAACTGCTTCTTGAAGTTACTGGGCTGAACAGTAGAACTCAGTGGCCATTTCAGCTCATCATGTTGCTTGATGTGTTACCTGTCCAGAATGTGCAGCCCCTTCCTGAATGTCAGCCTGACTGCTGGCTGGAGAATGTAGAAGTAATTATGGCCTTTGCCACCCCATTAGCCCAGCTAGCTGGGAGGCTCCCTGGCATTCCTTGGATCCCACACCTGCTGCTCTGTACCAGGTTCTTGTAACCTGATGTCCTGTCCCAGAAAGAGATTTAACATTAAAAACCTGCTCAGTAGTTTTAACTTTTGTCGGATTTAGCTTTCATTTAATCTTTCTGTGGTGGAACAGATCAAGGGGAAGCACAATTCTGTCTTTCCCTTTCATGTTATTCCAGTGCTTTTGTCTTTGTGCCTGTTGCTCCTGCATGGGAAGGAAGTTCTAGTGCAAAGCTGTGTTGATGTGTCAGAATAAAGGAACTGGGTCAGGCTTACAGGGCCGGGGTCAAACGTAACTTGTTCTGCGAAGTGTCATTTGCTTTTTTTCTGAAAGCATCTGTTCTTGAGGTTGTTTGTGCATTGTACAGGATTGCAGCTGTTGACTGTCAAAGCTACATCTGGCACAGAGAGCAGCTTCATTCATTATTCTTTGTCTGATCATGCAGGCCATGGATCACCTGGAATCCTTCATTGCAGAGTGTGACAGGAGAACAGAACTGGCCAAGAAACGCCTGGCTGAGACACAGGAAGAGATCAGTGCTGAAGTGTCTGCAAAGGTATTGGCCTCTCACTAAACATTGGTTCTGAAAGTCTTGCTGGGAGCCTGGTGCTCTGTTTCTCTGACACCAGTGACACTGGGGAGTTAGCTCCACAGAGGGTTTGGGGATTGCAGTCATCCTCCTCAAATGGCTGCTCTGGCCATTCTGGAGACAAACTTAAAAGACCACCATGGGCTCTAAAGGAGTTGCTTTAGCATGGAAATAAAGCATATTGGTTTCTTCCCCATGCTATTAAATGTTACCATAATAATTTAGAATAGTAAGTCCATCATCCCATGGTTTTTGTTTCATTTAACAAATGCTCATGGAGTTTCCTTTTTGGGAGCTCACCTAATTGGGCCAATACAAGACATTTCTGAAGCTGATTTTGTGGCCTCTATGCTGACCTGTAAGCCAGAAATGACTGGCAGATCATGATCACTCCACATACAGTTTCTCTCTTTGCCATATGTCTGTCACTGTGTTGACATTGGTCCACCAGTCCCTTTTCCTGGGGACTGCTGGAGATTCATGGTTATCTTCCAACAACAGATTTCATTACACAGTATTTCTTTCAAAAAAATGAAAAGTTGTCCTGCAAGCTTTATCACATTTTTGTCTTACTAAAAACTGACTCTTCTCTTCAGGCAGAGAAAGTCCATGAGCTGAATGAAGATATTGGAAAACTCCTAGCTAAAGCAGAACAGCTGGGAGCTGAAGGAAATGTTGATGAGTCTCAAAAGATCCTGATGGAAGTGGAGAAAGTCCGAGCGAAAAAGAAAGAGGCAGAGGTACAGTGCTGGCTCTCCTGTGGCTTGTCACAGGAGCCTGGGCTAGGCTGGGTGGTTTCTGCCCCTGTTCCTGTGTGCCAGCACCTCCTTTTGCAGTTCCAGCCGTGTGCCAGCAGGCACTGTGGTGATTGAAAAGATTTTTAGAAACTTTTATCTGGGGCAGGGAGGGCTTCATCCTCTGAAGTATTTGGTCACCAGTCTCTTGCAAGGATAGACTGTTGGGTTAGCTGTGCCCACAAAGCATTTGTGTGGCACCTCCTTTGTGTGAGGGTGGGTTTTGATTCTTCAAAGCAGTTCTTTACAGGAGTTTCCCCTGGAGGGTTCTGTCTATGTAAGGGTTCCCTGACATTTTATATGGGTTTTCTTGCCTCCCTGTAGGAGGAATACCGAAATTCAATGCCTGCATCCAGCTTCCAGCAGCAGAAGCTGCGTGTGTGTGAAGTCTGCTCAGCATATCTGGGTCTCCATGACAACGACCGGCGTCTTGCTGACCACTTCGGAGGCAAATTACACTTGGGCTTCATTCAGATTCGTGAGAAACTGGATCAGCTGAGGGTAATCCTCTCTGTTTTAAACCACCTCTTTGTAATTCTGAAGACCTTGAGCTCTTCTGTTAAATTAATAATTCTTTGCATAGGGCTTGTAAAAGCTCGGAAATTTCTGACTGCAGAATCCCTCAAGCATCAAACAGAGCTTTGTTTAGCCTTGTCTTGGGGTCTCTTCTCTGTTTTCTGGGTAACTAAATATGTTCCCTCAGAATCAGTCAAACCAGAGCACTGCTATAATTTATTCCTTGGAGCTTTGGTACAGTCAATCTCATTAACATGACAGATATTTGTTACTCTGGGGTTTTTTTTCCACTTCGAAACCTCTCAATGAAATATTAGAACTGAAGTTTCACATAGTTCTGTCAGTGAAAAGATCTTGACTAGCTGAAGCCATTAGGAGTTTTCTGAAATGGTTTGTAATGGGTTGTGGTACTGGCCTTGCTTGCAAACAGAGACTTCAGCTGAGTAAGAGTTGTGATTCCTGTGCCTCTCTCACAGTGCATTGAGGTCAGTGCCTCAACTGAGAAAAATGAGAACCTTGACAGAGGTCTTAACTCAGCACATAAAATGCAGTGCAATGGTTCTTTGTCTTGCTATTGGAATGGTCTTCCTGCAGATCTGACCTGTTACTGTATGGCTCTAAATAATGGCTGTTACTGCATGGCTGAAATACGACGTGGATTTGTTTTTAACCCCTAGAAAACAGTGGCAGAAAAGCAAGAGAAGAGAAACCAGGATCGTTTGAGACGGAGAGAGGAGAGAGAACGAGAGGAGAGGATGGGCAGACGGTGAGTGGGACCTGGGAACTGCCCTGTGAAGTCTAGAAGTATCTGATTCCTTGTACATGAGCACTGCAGGAGTTCAGCATCTGCTTCTGGAGTGGCTGTTGGATGTGCTCCAGATGCTGTGTGAGCATCCTGGGATTCAGTTAAAAATGAAAACAATGCACAAATCCTCCACTCCTCCACCTTAGAGTGATTGTACATGTATTTTAACCTCCACTGTGTGTCTGAAAGGTGAAAGTTCCCTGTAGTCTTCAGGCTTATATTGGTCTAATCCCTGTCTTAGGGAATCTGAATCTGGATAAAATACCCTCATACAGAGCACCTGAGTGGGAAAGTTTAAGATGAGTGAGGACTAGGCTTGCTCAAAAGGCAGTAGTCATGCAGAAATTCCTTGGACAGCCCTCCTCACGGCTTGGAGATGACAACAGGCTGGTGTCCATGTGCCAAATAATTGACTGCATGTAACTTTCCTACAATAAGTGAGGTGTTTTGGCAAGCATTTCCTAAGGAAGCTGAGGGATCCCAAGGAGTGGCTGCTTCTCGTGGTTGTAGCTGTGTGTGTCACCTTGTGCTCAGATGTCTGTAATTCCTGGGAGGGGCTGGAACATTGGTTTCCTCAGGACAAGCTCTTCTGCATCTTGCCAGCTGAACTGGAAAAACAATTTCTTCTGTACTTAAACTGAAGTGGCAACTTGTGTGTAAACAGCTCAGTTAGGCAGCCTGGTGTGGGGAGGGTGGTTATTTGCAGAGGTCAGGCAGAGGAAGTGGCTGGGTAGGAATGCTCCTCTGATTGTCACAGCATCTCCCTGGTTACCTTGTGTGTTTCTCCTTGTGTACTTCTTGCATCAAAAAGACCCCAACCTTGCTGCCTGTGCAGAGCTATTTTTGAAACTCAGAGTCAGCTGAAGAGTGACTTTGTCTGAGGAATATGAGATTTATAACTGCAGTGTACTCTAAGGTGGTGCTGGCTCTGGCTGTACATTGCTGGAATTGCTGACAAATACCAGCATGAAGCAGCATGGTGATTTTAGTGCATTATGAAGATGGGAGCCCCAAACTGTTACTCATTATCCATATTATTTTATGCATGTTATGCATAACTCCAGTTGGGGTGTTCAATGTGGGTTTTCTCTGGGGATTGCCTGGTGTGGTAGGAAGGAGCAGATCATGCTACAGCTTTCTGTGGAACTGTAGCACTTTGTGGAGAGCCTCACAACTTTGTTACCCATGCAACTGTAATGCAGTTGAGTTTGGGAACTACAGGATCTGGAAGTAGTTTTCAGTGCAGGAGTTTATCAAAAGGGACTGCTGTTGCTGCTGCTGTGGTCAGAGATGTGGAAGTGAAATGGGAAGTGTCTTCTCATGCAGCAGCTTCATGACAGCAGGACCCTGCCTAACATGGACTCAGTTTGTCTCCATGGTGCCTCTTCTTCCTGGAGGTAATTTCTCTGTAAAAATAGCTCAACAGAGTTGTTCAGGAAGAACCCTCTAGATCTCTCTGTTGATCCACATCTTCTCAAAATGTTGGTTTTCTTCCTCCTGTGGTGTGCCTGTGGTTTTGTTTTTGTGGTTTTTAAAAAAAAACCTCAAGCACTCAATTCTTGAGAGCTAAAGAGCCTCTTGTGTTTACAGGTAGTCCGTATGTGGATGCATGTGATGAGGGGGTTTGAAAGCTGCTTTTGAATGTTTATTTAAGGCTTAAAATAGGACAGCTTTAAGAACTGCATGGAGCTGGCCTAAAGTCTGAATTCTTGCTGTTTCCATATGTGACAGTACTTAGAGACTGTGGCTGGCCTTTGCTCAGGTTCTGTGCAGAGGCACCTGTGTGCTCCACAGGAAAACTTGTTATGAAGGAGTCAGGAGTGCCATACAGAAGAGATCCAATCAATTGCCCCTCCAAAATGAGAACTTGACCTGAGGGAGGACAGTAGAGACACTCAATGTCAGAACTGAGGTTAGAGTCCAGATTTCTTGGTCACTTACCTGCTGGGAGCTGTGCACACCATGCTCGCAGAGGCATTTTTCCATCAAAAACTAATTGGTGATGTCTGCCACCTCCCAGCCAGCCTCTCTTGTCCAGAGCTTGGTACTTTAAGGAACCACAGGAACATGTTTCCTTCAGAACTCTTCTTGTCATGTCCTCCCATACAGCACCTTCGTGGTGTTACTTCTGTAGGAGAATGGCTTGACTTTGGGAGTCTGGTGACTGACAGGCACTGTGGCATCCCTGCAAACCTGAGCCTTCCCTTGTGAAACTCTGCCTCTCACAGCTGTAATTAATTTGTCAATAAACTGTGACTCCACATAGGAATGGGTGAACTGGATTCTGCCCTAGAGGTAATAAACACAAGTCTTGTGTGATGGTGCTGGTGGCTGTTGGCTATCCAGTAATCTCTTAAGACTGGAATTCTGTGGAGAAGTGCCATGCTGGCAAGTGTTTTCTTCCAGTAAACAAGTCTGGTGGAGGTGCCAATGGATTTCCTTTGTGTTAAGCTGGACAAAAGACAGGTTATGAAACTCAGCAAAGTCTCTGTGATACAGGGACAAAAAAAGAGGAAAAAATAAACAAAATAGACTTACTGAGTCCTCTTGCTCCTATGGAGAGCAGTCTTCATTGTCTCTTGCTGTACAGTGATTCAGGCTAGTAAGGACAATGGTGTTTTGTTGGATACTTCCTGAATTCTTGACTTTGGTTCTAGGGAGTGATTATCAGATGTTTTTTGTGCATACAAATATGCTTGGATGATAGGCATGGAAGGGCAGGCAGGCTTTTCAGGGGATGTGGAAGGGCTTTTGTGGATGTGTGCACTGGTAGTTCAGAATGAAATGGTCAGGAGGAAAAAGAACAGTAAGAACTTGGAGTAATTACAACCACCAAAAAATCCAGCTGCCTGCCAGGTGTTTGCAGGTCCTGCTGCTCTGTCAGGCTCTGTTCTGTGGGAATGGAGGTGTGTGGGAATGGAGGTTACTGCCCTGCTCTCCACGTTTATCAGCTTTTCCTTCAGCTGGTCATGTGTGTTGCCACAGTGCATGTTTCATTTGCAGACTCCAAGTTCAGCTCCACTTTGTTTACAGTCCTTACCTGAATTCCTTTCTAAATTTGGGGGCTTTTTAAACTTTCTGCCATGACTGAACAATCCCATTTCATGGAAGAAATGTCAGTGCACATAGATTTTCTTGATCTTGTCTTATCCAGGCATGGTTTTAAATAATGTTATTAAAACAAAAGCTTCTCTGTTGCTTCTTAAATTCTTGTCTGTGTGTAGCTTTCATGTCAGGGTGCCAGAACAGCTCTGTGGGGTGTAAATGTCACTTACTGTGTGTGAGTCTGTGTACAGTGGGGAGCACTTACAGGAGTGAGTCTCTAAATCAGTAAAGAGGGAGAGGAGCTGCTTCTTAATTAAAGTAAAACAAGACTGTTCAGACAGTGTATGGTGTTCTGCTGGCTCTGAAATGTGGCCACAGAGGAACAGAGAGGGTGCAGCTTCCATGTGCAGAGGTATTTTAAGTGGTGCTGAGTAATGGTGCTGCTGAAGTTGAAAGAATTCTGCTGTTGTTATTTACAAACTGTCAAGAGCTAATGCTGACAGCAGTAAGCTGAGAGTGCCACACACAAGCTCTGAAGCTTGTGGAATGTGAGAAAGGGTAGCAAGGCCTGGATTATTCTTCTCAAATGCTTTCTAAGGATTTTCAGTTTATCTCTGTCACTTGTCAGTAATAGTTCTTCTCTTGTGGCTATGTCCCCTCTTTTTTCCCAGTTATCTTTCCCAAAAGAGAAAAAATTAGTGATACAAATTTCCTTCTAATGTTTGGTAAACAAGTACAAGGAGTGAGAAGAGGGTGTATTTCTTTATTAAAACCTCTTTAGCATGCAACTCCCTCAAAGGAACCAAAATCAGAAAACTGGCAGCTGTCTCTCTGATTGGAGAGTGGCACTTCTTGAAAATGTTAGAGTTGATCCAGCTGGTGTTAGACTGCAGGGAGTAAAGAGTGTGTAACAAATATGCACAGAAAATTAGTTGGAAAGGTTCATTGGGGTGCTTTATTAATAGTGTCCAGTTTCTAGACTTTTCTGTAGTGACAGGAAGCTTAGTGTGCAGAAATTAATGTTTTCCAGTTTTGACAAATTCTTGTTCCTAAAATTGAAAAAAATGAAGCTAACGAAATCTTTTATTTGCAAGCTTTTTTTTTTCTTTTTTTTTTAGTAGTGTATCACTTGAGGTATTGATTATTTCCGTGAAGAGCTGCCAGGGTGAATGAATTTTCCTATTGAAAATCCATTGGCTGCATCATAACTTCTCTCACTTAACTCTCCTCATCTTTCTAGGTCTGGATCAAGAAATAGAGATCGTCGAAGGTGAGTGCCCAGTTCTGCACTTATCCCAAATGCCTGTTTGTGTTTCTCTCTAGCTACTGAGGTTTTTCCTGGGTCTCAGTGTCTGGTTTGCTCCCTGAAAGAGATGGGAAGTGCAGTATGGGCAGCTCGGTGGTGCTGCTCAGCTTGGTGTGGCTTGTGGGGCTGTAGAGCAGGTGCTGAGTAGCCTGGCCAGGATGGGCTCTGTGTGCTCCAGTGTGAGCCCCTGGATGTCCCCAAGGCCTCTTTCCATAAATACCTGACACACTTTCATGATTGTAATGTCTGAAGTATCTGTTATATATATAATACCTCAGATGTGAAAATACAGACATTTGAGATTAAAACCCCCACATCTGTGGGAAGAGCTTGCCTTAATGCTATGGCAACATTCTCTGGACCTGGAGATCTCCCTGCCTACTGATTTCCTTTGGCATCTGTCTTATTTTTAGAGCAGGGTGAAGTAAATCTGCTTCTAAAGGGAAGATTCTCTTAGGGTTCTGCTAATATCACAGGCCATTTCCTTTGGCCTCTCTTCTACTTACACAGGCCTCACTTGTGAGCAATGCAGGGTTGCAAGCTCTGTTCTGGCCCTTGTCACGTGCTTACAATAATTGTGGGAGCTTTTTCTATAAGCTTTCCAGCAAACTGAGTAAGCCACTGGCATTCTGTTGGCAGCACGAGGCCCAGGAGGAGGCAGCTGCCCACGGGGTGGGTGCGGCTGATGAGCCCCGGGTGTGGGCAGGGATGTGGGGGCGGGGGCTGGACTGTGTTGGTGCTCTGGGTGTTTGTCACTCAGGAGAGGCCGACAGGTAGCTCAGGGTGCAATGTGCGGCACTGAGCCCGTGTGTGTTCCCTGCAGATCGCGGTCCCGGGAGCGGAGGCGGAGACGCTCCAGATCAGCCTCCCGGGAGCGGCGGAAGTCGCGCTCCCGCTCCCGGGACCGACACCGGCGCCACCGGAGCCGCTCCCGCAGCCACAGCAGAGGTCACCGCCGGGGCTCCAGAGACAGGAGTTCCAAACACAAGTATGTATTCCCGACTGGAGTGCTTCTGGAAAGGGGAGTCCTTGGCTCACAGTCACCTCCCTGGCCTGTAGAGCGAGCCGCAGCCTGGCAGGGTTCTCAGAGCAGCTGTGCTGGCCTGTGCCAGCTCCTGGACCAAAGCAGGATTATTCCCCAGTGGCCTCACGTGAGGGCAGCAGATGTACAGCAAGATCCCAGCTGAGGAGAGTCTAGGAGATAGAACAGGTTCCCTGATTTGCCTGCTGAGCCTTGAGATGCTCCTTGGATGGGAAGCAGAACGAAGCCTCTCTGAGCTAACTGAGCTTCCCTAGAAGCCAAGTGCCTGGGAGGCAGTTTGGATGTTACACTTCTGTAGTTATTTTCTGCTTCCCAAATTCCTTCTCTCAGTGCTGGCATTGGGAAGAGAGTCTATGATTTGAAATCTGGGTGGAGCCTTCTGTTAGAGGGCTGCTTGAGAGAGAGAGAATTCTTTAGGAATCAGCACTTTTTCCTCCTGAAAAAGAAATACAGGAGGAGTATACCATTCTTATGTCTCTGAGGAGAAGCACTATAGTCCAAGGAAGGGCTTAGTTTTTCTGAAATTCGGCAAAACAGCCTCTTTGTTGGAGGAAGAATGAGGCAAGTGTGTGTAGGGTATTAGAAAAATTGACTGGAATCACTATGTTCCCTTACAACCCTTCTAAGCCCAGGAGCAAGTCTGCCTCCAGGTGCTTGCTGAGGTTAGATCTGGATTTTTTTAAAGCCTCCTATTTAACAGGGGAGTGCTTTAGCACTGTCACCTGATAAGGCACCAGCACTCCAATCTAGAAACAAACCTATTGTTGTGTGGCTTGTGTCAGTTTAGCTAAGGGGTAAGAACAGCTTTTCTTTTAAAGATACCTGGTGAAGGGGAGGGAAATAATGGTCTGAAAAATAAGTCTCTTAATAATTGAGGGGGGGTGTAAATACTGTCAATTCTCCAATGGCTGAGATACTAAAGTGCTTTTTTAAATCTGTCTTGAACATGAAAAATAAAGAAAAGAAGTTTGGACAATTAGGAAGTGAGGAAGATCCTGTAATAACTATTACTAAAGAGCAGGTAAGGGATTACTTCGGAACCCCTGAACACATCCAAACCAGCCCATTGAGATTGCAGGGGGATTGGCCAGCTGACACACCTGCACAGAATTGCTGAGAGCTGGGGACAGGCCAGCTTCAGTTTAAGAAAACATAACAGAAACAAGAGAACAAACAGCAAAACCCTGTTTCCTGAAAGAGAGTTAATGAATTCTGCCCTCAGGTTCTGCTGGGCTGAGGTCTCACTTGCTGAAAGAAATGGAGTGTCACAGGATCTGGAGAGCTCAGGGTAGGAGGTCTGCAGGCAGCAGGCATTGTTGTGGAAAAGGCAGAGAGGTAATGTCATCAGACAGCCTGATGTTAAATGACACAGTTTAATGAAAATGAAATGGCTGTTGGGTTTTGATGTATCAGTTTTGCAGTATTTTCAAGCCTTAAAATCAACAAGAATGAAAGTGGAACCTCTAAGGTACCTTCTGTTGTGACTGTAAAAAACCCTGTACCTTCAAGTAAAATGTAGGAGCCTCTACTGAGCTCCCTCAGGGTCAGCTCCTTTTGAATCCTGCTATTCCCTAAGCTGGCAGGAATCACACAAGAAACAGCCTTTGAGATTAGACCTGTGTGAAGCCTCCTGTTTAATTCTGCATGGGCTGACACAGGGAACTGCTGCTGAAAATCTGTGGCTGTGAAAAGATGTGCCTGTGCCGTGGGCTGTGAATATAAATCTGTATCATCCTGACTTTGAACCCAGGATGCTGCCAAAGCCAGCATTTGTCAGGATGCAGAGTGAGAAGCCCAGGGCTGAGGCAGCAAAGAATCCAGTTGGTATTTGAAGCAGTTGAGCAGAAAGCCAGTAGCTTAGGGGGTAATGAAAAACTGCTCTGGAAGCCATGAACTGTGCTGAGTCAGAGACAAGGAAAACATTGTAGGCACTTCAGGATGGCCCAGGAAAATAATAAGGGGCACAGGGAAGACCTGAGAGAGCCCCTGTGGCAACAGCTTGAAAGGATCACTCACAGGAAGGAGGAACAAAGGCCGTGCTGTGCACAGAAACCTCACAGAGGGCCCAGAGCTGCTGTCATGGGGGACCCACTCCCCGTGGCACAGCACCCAGGCACGTTCCTGTAGGGAGCTTGCATCCCACAGCCCTGCCAGGGAAAGATACTGCTCGGTGGGTATTGGACAGTTTTTAGTTGTGAAGCTGATAGAGCTTTTACTTTGTACTTCAGATCTTCTAGAGATCGATCTTCAAGAGAAAAGTCCCGAGACAGAGAGAGGAAAGAGAAGAGCTCTTCTGAGAGGCGGCACGAGAGCACAAACGGCAAATCTCGTTCCAAGAGGTCAGAAGAGAGAGAAGCTGGAGAGATCTGAACTCAAACGATCTGTGTTGCACTGTAAATAGTCTGATAAACATTCTACACGAAGCCTAAATTTCCCATTTATATTTACTGAATACAACTCATCTTTTGTAGTTTGGGATTTTTATTGTTTGGCAGATAGCTGTGAGTTTGTAGAGACACAGGAGTTACGTACTGTTTAACAGGATTTTGTTTTAGTAGGAATAAATAAATCTGGATGGATGGTTTTCAGTCCAGGCCAGTGTGGACACCCCGTGTTTGTCCTGACGCAGCGAGCGCAGCGGTCGGGGTCACGCTGTGCCTGGAGCCCTGAGCTGCCCTGACCTTTGTAACGCTTCAGCCCTTTCCAGAAATCCCACCTGACCCTCTGGGAGCACACCAGTACCACTGGTTCTCAATTATATTTTGTCCTTCTGTTTATATATGTTAAAAAAAAAAAAAATCAGATTTCTTTTTTTCCTTCCTTTTAGTACTTAGCCATCTCATTTTTATGTCTCCAGCACTTGAGAGTTGCCTCACTTGCTCAGCTAAGGCAAAACCAGACAAAATTTGGCCCTGATCTATTCTGAAAGCTCTTTCTCTTTGAGGATGACCAGATTGAGCTGAACCATGTTTCTAAGCTGGGCTCAAGTCTGGTTTTAGTACCTTTACAGTTCAGATAGTTGAGCTGGTGTGAGCAAAGCAGTGGGAAGCCTGGCTGTGTTCTTCTCCAGAGAAGCACAGCCACAGCTCCTCTGCCTCTTTACTGTGCACTCTGCAGTCAGAGCTTCCTGCGCGGCTTTCTGACCTGCAGACCAAAGCGCTGCTGTGTTTCCAAGGCCAGTCAGGCAGAATGTGCCGAGGGGCAGAGGGACTCGGGCCGGAGCCCGTGCCAGCGTGTGCCCTCCGGGGCGCGGCACCGGCCGTGTCCCCGCGGGAGGCCGCTGCCGGCCGTCACTCGCTGACTGTGCCTCGCTTTGTCCCACGAGGGCAGGGAGGCGCCTGGCTGTGCCAGCCCCGGCCGCGACCCCCGGGCTCGGCCTCTTGTGGGAACGGTGCGAGCGAAGCCCCGGTCACCCGCCGAGGCAGGAGCCGGCCGGCCGCTCGTTAGCGCGGTGAGGCGGTTAATTACCGCCGTTAATTGCCGTTCCCAGGCCCGGGCTCCGGCCGGCGCTGCCCCTCCCTCCATTCTCTGCCTGCCCCCGAACGCGGCTCCGGTCCGGCCGCGGTGCTGCCCCGCTGTCAGTCCCTAGTGCATGCCCCCCTTCCCTGTCCGTTTTTACGATTAACTCCGCGGTTTCACGTGTTGTTTTTGTAACCTCCGTGTGGGGCGCGGGGGGCGGCGGGCGCGCGCTCGGGGTGCCCGTACGTGCCTGTGCTGTTCTCCCGCGGTCTGAGCGCATTAAAGATCTGTGTTTGTGGCTCCCGCGGCTGCCGGACTCGTTCTTGCGGGTTCTCCGCCCGCGCCGCCGCCGAAACCGGACGGGCCGGGCGCCGCCGCACCGAGCGGAAGCGCGCCCTGCGCCGTGACGTCACTTCCGCCGGGCGGAGGCGGGGATGGAGGCGGAAGTGACGGCGGCGGCGGCGGCGCGGGGTGAGTGCGGAGCGGGGCGGGCGGGGGCCGGGCCGGGGGACTCGGGTTGGTGCCCGGGCCGCTCTCGGCGCACCATGGGCCCCTGACGCCTCCGTGGGTGCGCACCGAGAACACGGCCGCGTCCCCGGGCCGCGTCCCCGCGCTGTCACCGGGCGTTCGGGGAGCGGAGCCGGCTCCCGAAGCGTCCCCGCCGCCGCCGCTCCGGGAGCGTGGGGCTGGCAGCGGCAGCGCTGGGCTGGGGGCAGCCGCGGGGCCGGGGCCGTTGACGGGTCCGTGCGAGCCCGCGGCTGTCCGCGCTCGCAGCCCGGCCCTGCGGCCTTCCCTGCCGGCCCGGCGGGGTTTGTCCGCCTTGAGCTGCCCACGAGGTGCCCCCAAACCACAGCGAGAAGCCTGGGAAGGAATTTAATCCTCTTTTCCAGAACCCAGGTTGCCGCCTTTGATCCGAGCTCCCTCGTGCCGGGGCTGGCGGCTGCGGGGGCTCCTGGGGGCTGCGGGGCTGTGCTGGAGCCCTCGCTCTGCAGCCCCGCGCTCTGCAGCCCCGCACTCTGCTCCTGGGCAGGGCCGAAGCCCTGCTCCTCTTTCCCTCGCGAGCCCAGCAGCCTGTCTGCAGCCGGGAATTACAGGGCTGCTTGCCGAAACGCAGACACTGCAACGTGTTCAACTCCAACCTCATTTCCAGCCTTTTCTCCGTATTTTGTAAGGCAGAAACATCTTGTGTAACAGCTGGGAGAGAGAGGGGCAGCCTGTCCTGCCGGGAGGGACTGGAGCCAGCCCTTCCCGGTACCAGGGCAGGATTGGGCTGCCTTTGGAGCTCAGGGGCTCCCCGGGGATGGATGTGTTATGAGGGAGCTTTGCTCTGTGTGCCTGTAAGTGACAGAAAGAAAAATTCCATTTCTGGTGGGGGGAAGAGTGGTTTCTCTTCAAGGTGGCTGTGAAGGACAACAGCATCTGGAGGAGGGCCCTTGTTTTGTAGAATCATGGAATGGTTTTGGTTAGAAGGGATCATAAAGACTGTCTTGCTCCGTGGGCAGAGATACCTTCTACCAGCTTCAAATCCCATCCAACCTGGCCTTTGGACAGTCCTTTCTCACTGCCATAAATCTCTCCAGGCTGTGCAGGAGGCAGCATGGAATTCTGACTTGTAGACTGAGTGCCCCACCTAAAAAAGGTACTTTTTTTGTCTTTTGAATAAACCCACATGAAATGACCACAGCCTTTTGCAGAGGGTTTTCATGCACAGAGATCTCTCCAGAGTCCCTTGTGTGCTCAGTGGCTGGCAGTGAGGGATGTCACTGTGCTTCTGAGGCCAGAGGGGAGCCCTGTGGGTGAGGTGGGGGTGTCTGTGGTTTGGGAGCTTCAAGCACCCTGCTGACAGCTGCCCTTGGACTTGGCACAAGGGATCTGCAGCAGTTGCTGAGAGGAGTGGCTTGGATGCAGTGGAGCCTGTGAGGCCAGGGATGATAAATGGCTGGTGTTTCTTCAGCACAGTTGTTATTACTGGCCTGACCTGTAATCAGTTCCACGCAGCTTTAATGCTGTTCTTCATCTTAAAATTTCGATCTTCCCATTGCTCTAAGGGAAATAATTCTGGGTTTTGTTTTGCTCTTCTCTGAACAGTTTCTGTATTTGAGCTCCTGTCTGTAGTGAAAACTGCCCTGGATAAGAGTTTTCTCCTACAAATGACAGATGTATCACATTGCAAGGTAGTTTTGCTCTGGAGGAGTTTCTGATTCCGTTGCTGTGAATGCTCTGTGGCACACTCTGTGTCTGCACTGGAGAGTTAAATGTCATTTCAGAAGAACCTGAGGACAGCTCCAGCAGGAGAATCCCAGAATGGTTTGATTTGGAAGGGACCTTAAAGCTCATTTCATTCCACCCAGTGCCATGGGCAGGGACACCCTCTGCTATCCAGGCTGCTCCAAGCCCTGTCCAGCCCAGCCTTGTACACTTCCAGGGATGGGGCAGCCATGGATTCTCTGGGAAACCTGTGCCATGGCCACACCAGTCTGGTTGGTGGGGTTTGGATTACAGGCTGTGTCCTCAGAAAGGCCTTAGGGACATGCCAGGAGCAGAGGTGCCCTGTCAGACAGGGATGGTCTCCTCGGGTCAGTGTCCCCAGCCAGCCCTTGGCTGTGACCTGGTGTCAGGGAGGAGCTGTGAGCAGCAGATGACCCAGCAAAATGATAAGCTTGAGTGCAGCATGCAGCCTGAGTGTCTTTGGGGGAGCAGAACTCATTTTGGGAAATCTTGGGAAATGTTATTTTTTCTTGTCCTGATGCAAGTGGGACTGCAGAAAGAGGAACAAATGACCCAAGACTGAATGTCACAGCAGGTGACTGCCCAGTGAGCTTGCTGCAGTGTCACAGTGTGCATGGGATCAAAACCCAACAGTCTGCTCGTGGAAAATAGCTGTGATGGGAATGTTGCATCTTATTCAGAGCAAAACCTGGCTGTTTTTGTCTTTATTGATTGCAGCTTGGGGCTTCAACAATTTCTGGCTGACAGGAAGGAAACCTCTGAGGTACTTGAACTAACCAACCAAACAGAACCAAACCAGCCACATGCTGTGTTTGAGGTCCTAAAATGTCCAGTCAGAACCTGATTTCATCATTCTGTGGAAGATAAAAATGTGTTGAACATCAAATCTAACTTACAGTATATTGCTAAAAATTTTCTGGGAAGAGCTGGTGCCTGGTGACGTTCCAGATGCTGTGGTTTGGTGCTTTATGAGTGGAAAATGAGTTAAACCTTTCCAGTGCACGGATCCTTAAATGGTTTCTGTCACCAGTCTTCATCCACCTGACTGTCTGTGGCTCTCTGTGCTTGTCAGCAGTTCTGTCTGACTGCTGCTGATGGTTTGTCCCTTGGGTTTAGCTGTGCAAGAGTTGCTGCTTTGAGGCAGATCAGATCTGTAAATCTGCACTGTGGCTTCAGGAAACAGGAGAGTGAAGGTGAGTACAGCTGTGTTTGTCCTGTCCCTGTTGTTGCTGTGGTACAGGAAGGGATGTTTGTTCCCCCTCAGCTTGGAGCAGTTGGGGGAAGCAACCTTTAAAGCTGAGTCTGAGATGCCAATCCTGGCTGTGCTGCTGCACTCCCTGGCCTGTGTGGGTTCAGTTTGGGTTTGTCACGTGTGTTTTCTAATTTCTCATTCTACAAGGTCTTTCTCCCATGTTTTCTCCTGTCCCCACATGTACTGCAGGTAGTGTGTGTCACACTGCAGCAGCACAGAATCCTGTCACTGCCTGCTCCCCTGAAAGGTGCCTGGATGCATTGAGCTTCCCAGCTGAGTTATTTTGTGTCCTCTTCCAGCGGGAGACAAGATGTCAGCTGCTAGAGGACAGCAAAACCATCTCAGATGTACACTATCATTTTCTGCTTGTCTTCAATTAAACTGATTACCAGCCCTCTTTGTTGTTGAGCTCAGGCCATTCCACATGCTGCCAGCATGCACTTTGGCAGCAGCAGGCACTGGGATTTCCTGCATTGTTTGAGTCTTGGCCATTGACCTTCGTGGTCCTCGTTCTGGCACCGCCTCTGCTCTGGCAGGGGTGCAAAGGGCATTATTCAAACCCTGAAAGAAAAGAGAGAGAATTGCTTTAAAGGCATTGAGGGCTCTTTGTGCTCCGTGGCTCCGTGGGGTCATCGCTGCAGAAAAGAGGGGAATTACTGGGGTTGTCAGGATAATTACTGCTTTTTTAGTGTTCTCATCCCTGTCTAGATGATGGTGCTGAGATTTATAGTGAGTCATAAAAATATGCCATCAATGCTTTTGGACAGAGATGGGAGAAACCTGGGGTTGGTTCCTTTTGGGAAGTCTCACAGGTACTGGTATGCCCTGGATCTTTCCCAGCTCCATACTGGGGGGCCGTGGGGGCTCTGCTGTAGGGGCTGCTGGGATTGTGCTGGAGCCCTGTTGCAGCCCATGCTGTGGGTGCTGGATTTTAGAAGGTCCCCCTCTCCATGCTGCTGGAGATGGGCACTGCAGGGACACACGAGCCAGCTGCCCCAGCACAGGGGAGGTCACATAACTCACTCCTGCCACTGTCCCCATCGCTGTGCCCGTGGCTGCTCCGTGCCAGTAAATCATTTGCTCAACCTGTGCCTGGATCCTTGTACCTTGAACCTGCTCAAGGCCTGGTGCACTAAAAGAGCAATGCTCAGCTCGGGGCAGAGGCTGAAAGCACCGCTTGATCTGTTGTTCCCCTTTCCATCTGGAGCCTTTCTACCCATCAAGTGCCTGCTGTTGGTCTGGGAACAGCCAGGCTCGTGTGGGTGTCCCTGCTGTGGCTGGTGGGCTGATAAGAAGGGCAGATAAAATCCTTGGAGTAAGATCTTTGGAATAAGATGCAACTTCTGCATTATTGATTCATTTGCATGGTATTGTGCAGGTTGAATTAAATTATCTGGAGTGACATCCTGTACTTTATGTAGAACAAATGCCAGAGTGCTCAGGTGGGAGTAAGTGCTTTTAAGTGCAGCAGGCTCTGAGGTTAAAGGGTTGGCAGTGCCAGGCTGACCTGCTGGTTCTGTGCCTCAGGGTTGCCTTGCCATGGAACTGTCCCCCTGTGATTTGTACCCAGAAGAGAAGAGGCCTCTGCAGTGGGACAGGGACAGCCTGGGGAGCCACAGCTGCTTGAAGGAGCTGAGCCTCCCCAGGGTGACTCAGCTTGTGTTTCACAGAACCTGTAAATGAGCTTGGGTAGAAACGTGAGACACAGTGAGCCCTGTTGCTGTTGAAATGCCATGCTCTGCACTGTGTTGGTGCTGACTTTTAGCTCTTTTCTGCTGGGGAAGTAAATGGCTGCAGTGCACAAACCAGACACATGACTGCTGGGGCACAGTCATGGAAAATTGGCGTGGTTGTCGTGGTTATTTACTCTGATAAAACTTTTCATAACACTGTCAAGCAGCTTTTTCCAAGCCTACTGGAATGTGTTATTCTTTATTTCTTCCTTTGTGGTATTTTTTTAAAGAAGCACTATCAGAGAATCTGTATAAAGCATGGATTTTTACTGTTGTGGGTAATGACTTACAGGCTCCTCTAACTGACTAGGGCTCTTTCTCCCCCTTTCTGTAGCAAATTAGCACAGAACCCCTCTGTTTATTGTAGTTGTAGCCCAAGGTTATGATTTATAGCAGGAGAAGCTAAAACAGCAGCTGTTAACTCTTCCACTCTGATGAAATCAGATTTGCCTGATTTTAGTCTCAGCTCCTGCCTTGTTTTTCTCTGGGGAGGGAAGTCATCACTACTTTTTCTGCAGGGCTGCCTTCTGCATCCTGCCTTCTGCAGGGCTGGGTTGCTGAACTTACCCAGTGGTTTCTCATGTCAGCAGGTGTTGAAGAGCTTTGGTTTGCTCCTACACAGAATACTCTGGTGTTTGTTTCTCTCTCCTGGGGAAGCTCAAGTGCACGTTTACAGTGGAGAACAGCCTTATGTTGGGATATAAAGGTCACAAGTGTTTCCTTTCACCTCTCCAGCTGGGAGCCAGGCTGACATACATGGGAGGTGGCAACAAGTCTTTGCAACAAAAGGAGCTTTTGGGGTGTTTTTCTTGAGGGAGACCTGCAGACCAGTCAGTCCTTTCTGCGTGGGGTCTGTAGCCTTCTTTGTCCAGCTCTAGCAGAGCTGATTTCCTCCTCTGGGGAAGAATTAGTGCTGTTCCTGCATTCCCTGAACTCTGTGTGGGAGACCTCCAGCACCAGCAGTGTGTTATACCCAGCTCTGTGACAATACACTGGTTTGCTCACCTCTCATTAAATGCTTCCAGTGTGAATATAAGGTAGTAACAGAACATTTTAATTGGTGTTTTTAAAATATATTTCAAAATGTATTTTGACTTCTTTTTCCATTGTTGCAGGTGAAGGAGGAGAAGGGTGTCTGAATACCAATGAATGAGCTGTGATGGATAACAAGGACTCAGAAGCTGAGATCCACCCTCTGAAGACTGAGGATGTAAAAGCTCAGGAGAACCATGAAAACTACGTGGAGAGGAGGATTATCAAGTCCTCGGGGCTGTCCCGGCTGTCCCGGTGGCGCACTGCTGCCTTCTTCATCTCCCTGTTCCTCTGCCTGATCATTGTGTTTGCTTTCTCCTTTATCATTCCCTGCCCAGAGAGGCCAGTTTCAGAAAGAACATGGTTCCAATACTACAACAACGCAGGTGAGCTTGCTGCAGCAGAATAAATACTTACCAAGAGTCCTTTTCCTTTCTGTGCCACGGATTTGGGTTGTGGGCCTCTACCTAAGCACAGCGTGGAGCCAGACCTGCAGGGATGCAGCCCTTGGGAGCCAGAGCTGTGAATACCTGACCTGGATAAGCAATGGCCCAGCATAATTGGAGTGGCCTTCTAGGAGGTGTTTACAGGATCTAGTGGAGAAATTAGATGCTGCTCTGAAGTGGTAACAAGGTAGCAGGCTGGCCTCAACCACCAAAAACAAAACAAAACAAAAAAAACCAAAAAAACAAACAAACAAAACAAAAAAAAACCAAAAAAAACCCCAAACAAACAAACAAAAAAAGAGGTATCTGGGAATAAATCTCTGTTGAATCTTGCTCTTTAAAATGTTCCTTTGGAGTTCAAGCTGAGGTTGGAGGCAATTAGGCATTTTTTCCTCTGTCACTTTGACTTTCTCCCTTTTCCCCGTGGCCAACAGGAAGGGAAGAAGAATAATTCCATCTTGTTTTTTTAATAAATTGCTCTGTAGTTATTATAGCTATTTTTATTCTGATGCTTTACTTGGCTCTTCAGCCTGGGTCCTGCTCCCCAGTGGCTCGGCAGTCACTTCTGGGATAGCTTTTCTTTAATCTTGTGTGCAGTAGGTTGTGCTGGATGTGCTGTAAATGCAGCGATAGTGCTCACAGCAGGGGCTGAGCTGCGTGTGGTGCTGCAGACACACCAGGTGCTGCTACTCTGAGCTCAGAAAAACTGCTTTCAGCTGACAGGAAGATGGAGTATCTGGGTTTTGTGGGGCTTGGCTAGGGCTTCTTTATACCTTGAGAATAGCAGCCCTACTCCAAGATCACAGTTGTTCTTTGTTCAGCATAGTTCAAATTCTGGCTGCTTGCCTCTTAAAAAAGACATCCTCTAGGGAATAGCAAATTGAAAAAATTGTTTGGCACTAACTTCCTGTCCTTGGTACTTGTGTATGTGACTTTTTTAATATAAAAGGCAATTTGTCCTGATGTTACACTGTCCAGGATGGAGGCATGAGTAGGTCTCTAGGAATTTGTGTTTTGCTCCAACTTTCTCTGCTGTGGGCTAAGGAAATCCTCACCAGAGCCTGGCTTGTGTTCTCTTGCAGAGCCCTACCCGTTCCTTGCTATAGAAGACATGAATGAAGACAAAGTACAAGATGTGCTCTTTGCTTTCAAATCCAGCAATGGCAGCAGCAGATTCAACATGTCCTGTCTGGATGAAGGTACCTGATCCAAAAACACCTTCTAGTGAGGGCTGTCCTTTCTCTTCCAGTTCCAGTTAGTGACTGGGAGAGAAAGCTGGGTGGGGAGAGGAGCTGGGTGAGTCCCAGGTGAGTCCTGGGTGCTGCAGGGCAGCAAAGGTGGCTGCAGGGGCAGCTCCCTGTGATCCCTCTTGTCCCCAGGGCTGCCGTCTCCCTGTGCCTTCCTGGCTGCGGTGTCTGGCACGAATGGCAGCGTGCTCTGGGAGAGCCCTGCTGCAGAGGACATGCAGTGGCTGCAGTGTGGCATCCAGCAGCTGGGCACGGCCGCAGCCCCGGGCTGCCTCGTGGTGGAGAAGCCACTGTCCCTTACAGCCGTCAACCTGAGCACAGGTGAGTGCCTGCAGAGCCCTGCTGCCACACAGGGGATGGGCCGCTTGCTTTCCTCGCCTGGTGGCCCCAGGGGGGACACCAGCGTGGCTGGTACATGAACAATGGGCACGGGGTATTTATTATCTGGGAAGCCTTGCCAGGGCCGCTTGCTGGGCGTTGAGGAGCTCGTGCTCTCAGCCTCGCTGTTCCAAAGGTTTGGTGGGGGTTTGTGCCAGCCACTGTTTCATAAGACCAGGTTCCAACAGCTTTTGAAACAGGAGGAGCAGTCACTAGCTGTGTTACTTTGTACTCCCCAGGGTTAGACACAAACCTGCACCTGCAACGTTTCCCAGTTATTTGTGTGTGCGTGCCAGGAGTGCCTGCTGTGGCAGGAGGAGTGGGAGTTCTAGGCATTTATGATTTTAAAGTTGTCAAGGAGAGCACTTAGGATAAGTGCTTGCCAGTCTGTTTCAGTAGTCTACGATTCTGCCTAGTTCCTCTGGAAAGGTTTCTTCCTTTCTAAACTTAGAGGTGGAGAAATTCATCATCATCATCTTGCCTTACGTGGGTGGGGGTAAGGAGTGCCTGTACTACTTTAGGAACAGTGATCATCTGCTGCACCTTGAACCCTCCTTGCTGGTGAAGCCTAAAATACATTTCCATTTTGGAGGCCATTGTTTCAAATGTCTAAACAATATATGTTCTTCCTAGGATCCCATCCTTTGTATCTGGTATTAAACCCCTCACACTCTGTTTTCCAAAAATTGGAAAAAAGAAACAGCAAGAGGTACAGCTCTAAGGAATCTGAGGAAAATCAGGTGTAGCTTTTAATTTCTAGTGTATAGATGGAAGTGTAGATACACACAGAGCTAGAAAGTTTCTGTACCAGCAGAGACCTCTTATCACCATTTCCCTCATGTGCAGGCTTTAGCGCAGGTTATTTTTAGACTATTAATGAAGTAGTTACTTTCAGGTCAAAGTGTAGAAAGTTGGCTGTGGAGCCAAAGGCTTGTAACTAAAGACAGCCATAAAGGCAAGTGTGGAGAGAAGGAGCCAGGCTAAGCTACAGGTCACAGCAATACAGTGAAGAAAACATTCCATAGATAACTTCAAAGCAAGAGAGGAAAAAATGCATCAGACAGAGAAGTGAATAACCCAGGAGTTTATGTATTTAATGCCTTTTTGCTGTTAAGTAGGTTAAAAATGGTTTCTGAGTTTAGCTGACTGGGGGTTAGGAGGGCAGAGCAGAATAAAATGTATTTAAATAGGCTAAATGTATTCAAAGAGGCAAAGTCTAACTTACATCACAGTGTGCTAAAAACAGTAGCCAGCACAATCTTTAGCTGTTAATGATTCATCATCGTGGAGGATTTGGTGAGATTCCAGGACTCTCAGGCTGTCTAGCCCCTGCCTGTAGGAAGATTGAAGGAGAGATAGGCAGATTATCATCTGAATGTGTCTGATGTGGTTTTGATCTTTAAATGCTGATAATGTTAGTGGGGTTTTTTTATCAGTTGAAGTTGTGTTAAGTCCTGCTTTCTTCATTGCCACAAGGAGTGACCAGAGTGGGCAGGAAGGGAAGCGTAGGGGTGCATGCTCCTGTTTGTGTGGGACATCTAACATTCCTACATGTTTATCTTACCAGCAAACTGGGACACACAGGAGCTTAAGATTAACTGTTCCAGGTCAAAGCAAAAGTCTTTGTAGCCGTGCATTATTCCATCTCTGCCTTAGCCTGAGGCAGAGTCTCAAGAAAGAGGACAGGAGTAAGAGTTTTGTTACACCTTCTGTCTTCATCTGATCCTCCAGCAGCATGAACAGTGAGCCCTGTGGGTGGTTCTGGTCTCCTGGGGGATTGAGCAGAAAGGGCACCATGATGATCAGATGATGGAACTGCTTCTGTGTGAGAAATCACTAAATAAATAAACCAGAACTCCAACCTGGAGAACATCTGACAGGGAGAAAAGTTTCTGTGTCCTCTGCGTCTGCTTGAAGTGAGAGCTGAGCTCAGTCTTCTGAGTTCTGATTTTATTATTCCTTCCAGACCAAAAAAATCCAACCTTTCACCCCGGTTAGATTTGCAGTCTAGGCACTTGCCTGATTTCCATCTCGGCTCCTCTTGCTGTGACCCCGGGCTCTGAGGAAGCGCCGTGGCACTGCAGATGTCAGACATGACAGTCCCATCTCCTGCTGAGGGAGCAGGAGAGGGCTGCTTTCTGTGCTCTCTCTGGGCTGGGTTAGAGCATGGAAAACTTCTCAAGTGCTTGCTGTTGAATCCAGCTCAGTGTCACCTGTTTCTCTTAACTCAGACTGTTCTTTTAAGAGAATAAGATATTTTCTCCCAAACTCTGTCAGCTGTCTAACCACCAAAGATTAGAGCCTGGAAAATTAGAGCCTAGAAATTCACTGACAAGTGAATTTCATTAGCCTGGTCTTACTCTTTACCTTTGAACAGTCCTGAAGCTAGAATGTGGTAATTTAAAACTTCTCTTCTTCCTCTGCCTGCTTATTTTCTTCGAGGGCAAAATTCTTTGCCTTCCCATGATTTCCTAAGGAAACTAGGAAATCTGCTCTCTTCACTTCACATCTGTTGTCATAGCAACAAATCCAAGTGGTTTTTTCAGCTTTGCAGTAAAAGCTTTGAAGCAATTCTACTAGAAATACAGCCTGCCTGAAATTATTGCAGACGGCATCAAGTAGTAATTCCTTGGCTTTCAGTCCAGCTGCCTTCCTGACAAAGAACAGATGATTACTTTGCATTCCTGAAATGATAATTACTGTGTGTGATGCTGGATAAAGGGGAGGGTAAACATTTGCCCTGGGAGCACCTAATCAGACACTGAAGTGTTCATTAGAAAGAAAACCCCCCCAGCAGTGTCCTCCCTGCCAGATTCCACTGCAAATTCCACAAAGTAGCCCACAGCCATGGACAATGGATGGATAGAGCCACTCAACTGGTCTGGAGCTGTTGAAGAGAAGCCCACACCAGCCACCCCCTGTTTTTTTTTAAAAAGCAGAGCTTTGTTACCTCAGTTTACAAACAAGTTTGGGGTGTGTGTGTTCTTCAAACAAGGGAGGGGTGGTCTGTGGTCTGAGCTGGTCATGTCAGTGAGGAAACATCTGCAGGAACATCTGCAGGAGGCAAGTTGCAGCAAAGAAGGTTCTGCCAGGAGTTGCAGCAGCACTGGTCAGAATTCAGCTGCTTTATGGTCTCAAAATGTCTGTGCATATTTAAGTGCACAGCAGCAGGAATTTAGATCACACTAAAGGCTTCTCCATGCCATGAACATGCTGGGAAGCTTGTTAACCAAAGGCACAAGGGAAGCAAGCTGTTCTTTGTGCCAGGGTGTTTGGGTGCATTCCTGCAGGCAGCTAGGCTTGCTTTCCAATGTAAGATGAAACTGTGGATACTGGGATTCATTGGGAATGCAGAAAAGCAAGGAACTACTCCATGATCAGCATAAATGTTGCTGGTGTGTGGTGCTGATGGGCTGGAACAGGAGCATTAATAACCTTTCAACCTAAGATGCCTTCTAATGACTGTTTCCCACTGTGTTCCAGGGGAAGTTCTGTGGAGGCAATCCCGTGACTTTGGAGCTAATTATACTGTGCTGACTCCTTTATCAGTGATTCCAGATGTGGATGATGATGGAGTTCAGGACCTGATAATCTTTATTACTAAAACAGGCCAGGTATGTCATCCTGAAGCTCTCATAAGCCCAGTGGCTGCCACAGAGGATGGCAGGAATGCTGTTTATTTCCACCTTGTAGTCTCAGAGGGAGTGTCCAGAGGCCTCTGGTTTCTGTGGGTTTGGGGTGGGTTCTTTTCCACCCTCCAGAGATGTACTCCCAAATCAGCACAAGTGTTTTATGGTTTAAAAAAATGAAATAAATCAAAGAGCTGGGCAGCAATCCCTCCCCCTTTTCAGTGTGCTCTCCTCACTGCATGTTCCTGTGTTGTCTGGGGAGTGAGCTGGGGCAAGATGAGCTTGCAGTTTTCTGCTTCTCTGCTTAGAGAAGTGGAAGTGAACAAATCTTGACAGCTTTGGCTCTTATATCAAAGCACAGCTGACAGTCAGTGCTTTTGTACCAGCACTGCCCTTTTCTGATCCCTTCCCTCTCTCTGCCTGTGGTCTGCTTTGCACTGCTCTTCCCAGTGTCACTGTGCTGGTTAATTCTGATCTGAGTTCATTTAGTGAAACAGCTGCTGGTGGTGTTATCTTCCTCCAAGTATTGCTTCTCCCATTTTTGAGAAGGGGAAAGTCATGTAGCTAGAACAGTTTTTCTGCTAAAACATCTGCATCCGTGGTGGAGTGGCACAGCGTTGTCTGCATGCCCAGTCTGTCCTGTTCAAAGCACACAAGTTACAGCTCCTCTGGGTCTGATAGGAGCAGTGGGAGCCCCAGCTCCTCATTCCAGAGCCATGGAGTCATTAAGGTTGGAAAAGACCTCTGAGATCATTGAGTCCAACCAGTGACTGATCCCTGCCTTGTCACCAGCCCAGAGCCCTGAGTGCCATGTCCAGGCTTTCCTGGGACACCTCCCACAATGGTGACTCCACCACCTCACTGGGCTGCCTCTTCCAATGTTTAACAGCCCTTTCTGGGAAGAAATTCCTCCAACCTGAACATCTCCTGTCACAGCTTGAGGCCATTCCCTTTTGTCCTGTCCCTTTTTTCCTGGGAGCAGAGCCTGACTCCCACCTGGCTTCCCCCTCCTGTCAGGGAGTTTTGGAGAGTGAGAAGATCCCCACTGAGTCTCCTTTTCTCCAGGATGAGCCCCCCACAGCTCCCTCAGTTCCACCTCACAGGACATGTGCTCCAGACCCTTCCCCTGCTCTGTTCCCTTCCCTGGACCTGCTGCAGCAGCTCAGTGTCCTTTTGGAATTGAGGGGTCCAGAACTGGGCACAGCAGTTGAGGTGTGGCCTCACCAATGCCCAGTACAGGGCACAAACACTTCCTTGGCCCTGCTGGCCACCCTGTGGCTGGTGCAAGCCAGGTGACGTTGGTCTTCTTGGCCAATATCCTCCATAAGAAAATAGGGTTTTACTGTCCAAGGCATTGTTGTTGCCACAGTCATCAGAAATTCTGTCTTTTCCACCTCCTACAGTTCTCTCTGTTTTCTTTCCTCCTTGCTTTTGCTATCCCACTTATCTCAAGACTTTTGTTTTTTTAATCTTAGACGGCCAAGAAAAGTTTGAATGTAGCCTCTGTTCTGCAAGACCGCCTTTTGATCTGTTTTCCATTTTAGCTCTCTTGCTATCTTGGTATGAAATCCCTTCCTCCCTCTGGATTTGGCAAGCACTTTCCCAACTTAAGAAAAAGTATGTTCTCTTTTGAGAATCACGCAAATGTAGGAGCTGGGGTGGAGCTCTGCAGCTTGGAAAGGGTGGTCAGAAGGGAGATTCAGCACTCAAGTAGAGGAGCTTTGTTGCTATCAAGGGCTGCAGCTGAAAGGAGAGAGCTGTGAGCAGTCTGTGGAAGGGTCTGTGTGCAGGGGGTTACATGGCAGCGTTTCCAGAGAGTCCCATTGACCCCTTCCTGCTGCAAGCTTCAGCACAAACACATCCCAGAAAATGTGATGGTTTTTGGGATCCATCTGCTGTGGCAACACAGAGGGGTTGGCAGTGCAGCGAGGGAAATGTTGTGTTTCTCCCTCCCTGTGTAAACAGCCCTGGCTGTCACTGTCCCAGGGCAGCCACTGGACCAGTAAAGGTGCAGCTGGTCTACCAGAGCTGGTGTGTGTCTCCTCCCAGTGCAGGAGGCTGGGAATAGCTGGTTTATTGTTCTCCCTCTCCAGCTGTGTTCTCATTCTCCCTTTTTCACCTGCCAGACTCTCCAGATGTACTTTGGATTTCCTTTGCTTTCCAGTCCCTCCCTCTCAAGGTAGAGGGAAGGGTTCCTGCCTGACTCAGCATCTCTGATGGGTGCTGTTTCTGCTGGTCAGATGTTTCACTTGTCCCTAAAGTCTGTTGCACTCCCTAGACTCTGACTGTTGCTCAGACATTTAAATCTGATCCTGACTTTAACCTTTATTCTCCTGGGTGAAATGTTTTTAGTGGATTTTGTTACCCTGCACAAAGAATAGAAAGAAAGAAACCTATCAGCTCTTTTATCTTCTTGGGCTCACATGAGCATAAGGAGGAGTAGATTAGGGCACTTAAAACAGCAGAGTTGCCCTGTGAAGCCAAGTTTCCCATGTCCATGTGCTGCATTGTTACTGACATTAGGTCATCTCCCTCTTAGGTTTGCATGGATCTTTGCTGTCCTTACAGAGCTGGGGCTGCTGTTCCACAGTACCAGACTGTTAGGAGGGTGGGTGACAGAGGTAGCAAATTCTCAGAGCAGGTGGCTATGCTGGAAGTGGTTTTCAAACTTCCAGAAGAATTCAGGACAGAGGTGTCACCAAACTCATGCCCACTCCTCCAAAACCAGGGAGAGACTTTCCATCCAAGCCTGTGCTGCTCCCATTCAGTTGCTGTTTGGTACCAGCTTTAATCTTGTTGGTTGTTGTCTGCAATCCCTTCCCTGTGCAGGTGAAGGTCTTCATCTGTTCAGGAAAAACTGGCCAGCAGATTGGCTCCACGGGCAGCCTGAGGGTGGATGGCATCGCTCGCTACGTCAGGCTGCAGCTGCACTCCTCCTCCTACTTCCTTTTCTACACAGGTACAGCTCTGCTTGGGAATTCAGTCTGAAAGAGTGTTTGTAGCTGAGATCAGGGTTAGTAAACATCATCTGAGAGCGTGTTTTGCATTCTTACAAGCTGTGTGGAGCTTTCAGCTAGTCAGAGCTGTTCAGAGTGAAGAGAAGGGGGGGCTTCTGCTTAAACTGCAGTTTGTTATGTGCTGTAGTGATTTTATTCAACAAATGTCAAGCATGAAAGGATTAGGCAGTCATTTATAGCAAATGATTACTGTGGAACACTTGGATTATGAACAGATAAAATGTTAAAAGCATTCAATAGCAGGCTTGAGTCTCAAAATACCACTACAACTCTATGATGCAAGCCCTAAAAATAGAGTTGATCTGACAGATCTGGAAAATCATAGAGTTCAGAGCTAGGGCAGGATAACTTATCTCTCTCATTCTTCATTCTTGCCTTTTTTTTTTTTTTTTTTTTTTGCACAGAGAACTCTCTCTATGCATATTCCCTGGAAGATCTGTGCAGTACAGTAGTTGGGGAGGAAGTTAAGCTTCCCAACTTCCAGCCGGATTCTCACTGGGAGAAGCACATTGACCGTGCCACGCACCTCTTATCCCTTCTCAGGTGTGAGGCTATGTCTTGGAGGCTGGTGGAGTGGGGGGGCTGGTTCCTGACAGGATGGCCTGGTGGGACTTTGTTCTCTCCTGCCTATGTGGTTTTTGAACTAGGAGCACATCCAAAGTTCAGGACAAGGGTTGGTGTTAATGGCTTCATCAGGGATTCACAGAAAAGAAGAGAAAACATGTTGAGGTTTCTTGTTTGGATTTACTGTGCAGAGAGAAAAACTCCAAACTTCACAGTAAAACCATCCATGGCCTAAAAAGCTTAATCATTTCTCTGTCCTTGTTCAGATTTGAAGACATTCACTACCTGGCAACAGTTCCTGGGCACTCACGGGACAACATCTTGGTCGTGGACTCAGAGGTGGCTACACTGATCAACACAAAAGATCTCCACGCTGTGTGGACCCTCAATGTGTCCCGTGTTTTGAGGTAGTGTTCTCACTGTGGGCTAGGTGTGGCATTTCCAGGTTCCCAGCAACAGCAATGTCCTGGCAGATGAAATTCTTTCTTTGCCTGGGTCATATCTTGATCTTGCTTATTGTGTTGTGTCCCCTCAAATGCTGGGAGCTGCTTCAGGATGGAGGAGCTCAGAGCTTTGCTTCTCATTTTGTGCCTGCTGTGATATGGCTGGGCTCAGAGTTGGGGTGGTATCAGGCCAACCCAATTTTATGCAATCAAATCTCTTACCAGGGCAGGTGTGGGAGGATAGAGGCAACTGGGAAAGCAAACTGTGCCCAGCCATCAGGGTGGGTACAGATCTGCTCTTTCTCTCCCTCAGTGAGCCGCTGCTCGGTTACTACAAACCTGATGCCCATGGTATTGTCCTGGAGAGTGAGATTGGACCCAATAGGAAGAAGGTTTGAAATTTCTTCCTTTTAACTTCCCATTTCTCTGTATGTCACAGCTCAAGCAGGAATTGAGCCAAGGACAGTTGGTGGGATGTGTTCCCTCTGGCTGATTTTAGGAAGCTTTAAGCTGTGAAAGGATCTCTTTCAACAGGTTATTGAAGCCAGCTCAGGCACTTTAACTCTCTTCTCAGCAAGAGGCTTCAATGACAGAACTTTGAATCCCTTGAAGTAGCTGTAAAACTTGTGATTTTACTCTAACATGGCCAACCCCAGGTCTCACATCTCTGTGATGCTCTGCTTCAAATATTTCCTCATCTTCCCATGTGTCACATACTTGTTCCCATAGACAGTGTGAGGAGAGGCAGCTGACCTGACTTCTCTCTCATGGCTTGTGAGCTGCCTTTGTCGTGAGTTCCTTTTCTTTCTTCCCTGTTAGGTTATGATTGTTGAGAGTGAATCTGGAGCAGTCCAGTGGGAGCTGAAGCTGAACTCGGGACCAGGGAGCCCTGGCCCAGCCACACTTCCCACTGCGGATCACCGCTCTGCCTTCCTCGTGTGGGGAGACTACCAGGAGCCAGGCAATGAGACGGTGAGTGCTGCTGCTGAGGGCTGCTCTTCTCCAGGCTTTGGGCCAGAGCTGGGTGGAGTTACCCCCTTGTCACAGTGTTGGTATTCCCATCTGTCTGTGCCACTGACACTGCAGCCTCATGCACTGGCTGTGGGCTCCGTGTCCACAGCCGTGTCCCTGCAGGTGGTGGTGGCACTGGCAGCTTTTGTCATCCTCAGCCTGGTTAAGTAGAGAAAATTAAATTGGTGGCTCTGTGAGCAAAGTCACTGCCCTGCCTTGGTGTGGCACTGTAGGTGAGGTGGGAGGCTTCTGGCCTGGCATCTCTGGAGTTGCTGCTGTTTTTCTGGGAGCTTCACATGGCAGCATTGCATGCAGTGATCTCTGTGGCCATGTAAATATCCTCTCTGTGCCCCAGGCAGCCTCAGGCAGCCCTGGTGCACAGCTCAACTGCTTGCAGAATCCTCGGGGCAGTGACAGGCAGCACTGGTGACAGTTTGTGTCTCAGAGGCTGCTGAAGCACCAGCTGAACTTCCTCTGCTTTCCTTGCTTGCTCTGCCAGCCCTGAGGCAAAAATCTGTCTCCTGCCTGCAGCAGACAGGCCAGCTATCTGCAGGAAGCTTGGGGTGGGGAGGAGAGCAGTAAGCAAAATCCCAGCACTTGTCCTAATGGCATCGGTCAGGCTGAGCCGGGCTGACACGGGTGAGTGTCTGGCTGGGTTATCCTGTCGAGTGTGAGTAATAGCTGAGCCTGGTACTGCTGTTGTCTCTGGGATAACGTGTGAGTCTGTGTCCTGACAGTGTCCTGTTGGTTGCAGAGACCCCGAACTCCTCTCCAGAAGCTGTACCTTTTCCACCCTTCCTACACTAATGTCCTGTTGGAGCTCCGCAACAGCACCGACCAAATCATTGCGTTCAGTGGTGAGTCCTCTCCTTGCAGCCCAGTGCAGGAGGACACTGGTCCCTCCTAGCCCCTGTGGGTGGTGGCAGTCCAGGTGTGGGGTGGTGGCAGTCCAGGTGTGGGGTGGTGGCAGTCCAGGTGCGGGGTGGTGGCAGTCCAGCTGTGGGATGGTGGCAGTCCAGGCGCGGGGTGGTGGCAGTCCAGGCACACAAGGCTGAGGCTGCATCTGCGTGTGCTCCGTGTTGCAGCGGCGCTGTTCGAGCGGAGCCGTCACGCCTGCTATCTGCTGCTGCGGGGCCCCCAGCCCGGCGAGGGGCCAGGCCCCCTGTCCCTGATGAAGAGGAAGCTGAAGGAGGATGTGGCACTGAGCAGGGTGATCTGGCTGCGCCGCACGCCCGGGGACGAGGAGCAGCACATCCGGGACCGCCTCTACAGGATGCGATTCCAGAGCCGAGATTGAGCTTAACGGGGAATGGGGAGAGGCTGCCCCTGCTCTGCAGCCGTGCTCTCAACAAGCCCAGAGCCTGCATTCCCATGGGAAGCTGCCTTTCTTGATCCACAAACCAAAGTGTGGCTGGCAGGGAAGCACCCCCAGTGTCTAGGGACACCCAGGCTGTGGGGGCAGCTGCCAGAGTGTCCGTCCTTAGAGCTTATGGGACTTCAGTGCTTGGCCACCACTGAGGTGTCATCAGCTCAGGGAGGAGGGCTTTCCCCTCCATCCCTCTGTGCCCACAGAACTGTGCTGACTCAGGAGTGTGTCTGGAGGAAAACATGTGCTTGCTGAGGTGCCAGAATTGATGATTTCTGGGATGGCTGAGAAGTGGAGTTGGATGTCTGGGAAGTGGAGTTTGCTGTGTGATGTTAGATTTCCTTTCTGAGTCAGCTCTCCTGGCTGGGGAGAGGTGCTTGGCTGCAAGTTGATTTGCAATTACCCTTTCCTGGATTTGGGCCATGCTTCAGTAGTGGGGGGGTGTGTGGTGTCCCCAGCTATGGCTGTGGTGTGTCTGGTGTCACTTGGGCCAGCAAAGCGCAGGTTAAAGTGTCGTTCTACTTAGCAAATGGCCTTTTCTCCCCCGAACACCCCCATGTGTCCTACTCTGCAGTCACTAGCCTGCCTGTGTCTGTGCTCTCTGCTGCTGCCTTCCCAGCCAGGCTGTGCAGTGTTGGTGGCACTGAGAGGGAGCTGGTCTCCCACCTGATGGATGCATCAATGTTCCTGCCTTCCCTCAGCCTGCTTATAGATGGTGAGAGATACACCCTGAGGCCAGGCTGGCTGGTCCCTGGAAGTACCACCACCACCTCTCCAGATTTAAGGAACCAGAGGATCTAGCTTGAGTAGAATTGCACTTGAACCTTTTCTGGGAGCTGGGATTGCTGCTCTGGGAAGCCCTGTACCCAAGTGGCAGTGCCAGCACCCTCCTCATTCAGCCTTGCAGCTGCTGAGGAGCCTTCTCCAAGCACTGTCCCTGCTGCCAGGGGGTGGGCAGGAGCTCTGTGCTGCCTCCCTGCCCTTGGAATTGAAGTGATGCTGGGTGAGGATCCTCGAGCTCTCTGCCCAGCCTGGTATCCCAAGGGGATGGGACAGGTTGCTGTGTGAAGATGACATGTTCCTCCTGGAGCTCCTTGTAGCACCGTGAGGTGTTTGCTCTGCCCTGTCCTGATGGGTGCCAGTGTAGACTGTAGAAAAAAGGTGCAGAGCCTTGAAAACAGTTTGAACCAGCTACTCACTCCTGAAAATAAAAACTAGGCCTAAAAATAATCTCTCTCAAGCTCTGCAGTGCTGGAGGGGGGTTGGCCAGTGCCTCCCTCCCTTGCTGAGTCTGACACTGGGGGATGTGTAGAAACACTGTAGGATGGGAATGTGCAGCATCAGGCACCAGTTCTTCCCTTCAGCCACTGCTGAGCCTGAATGTGCCACTGGGCTGCTGCTGTCACCAGCTCATGCCACAGCCCCAGCCCTGCCAGGCTGACAGCACAGGGAGCTGGGCTGCCTGGACACCTCCTGCTTCCACCTGACCAGGGGCTGCCTGTAGGTTCCCTCTCCCGTATCCTGGGCAGTCAGGGGAGCCAGTCCTGGGGTGTCCAGCTGTGCTCAACAACCTTCAAAAGCACCCTGGGCTCAAAATGATTGTGTTGCCCCTCTGCCTCTCTTCCCAGCTGTTTTCTGAGGGAGTCCAGGAGTGCAGGGAGGTTCCCCAGCTGTGTCCCCCAGCTTGGGTTTCCTCTTTGCTCAGCACCTTAGGCCTGACAGCCACCCAGGTCTCTGTGCCAGTGTTGCAGCCATAAGAGGGCTGGATTGAGGCTGCCCTTCAGCCAGCTGGGGCAGGGCACAGGGCAGGGGACCCTGGGCTTGCACTGGAGCCCAGCCTGAGTGCTGGCTGTGGATTGTTTCCTGCTGAGATTCCCCTGGCTGGGAGCAAGGGGAATGCCTGGGCTGTGTTCTCATGACACTCTCCCTCCTCAGATCCCTACCCAGACATGACCTTCCCACAGGCACACTGAATATTCCTGGAGGAGAGCTGGATTTTCAGCTTTGAGGAGCTTTCCTGGCTTTAAGTTGTCCAGTAATGTTTCTGGACAATTTGGAAAAGCAGATTTCGCCGTGGCAGCTCAATTAAACGCATCAGTGCCAAACCAGCACCTTCTTAACAAAACCAGTCTGTTTCCAGCTTGTTTCCTGTGTAATTGTTCTTTTGCAGTATTTGATGAATGACTTTGTGCCTTGATTCAATAACTCATCTGGGTGGCAATGGCTATATCACTGTGTTATGTGTTAGTGTGGTTTTTAACACTGAGACTGTTTGGTTTGGTTCTTTAACTTATTGCAAATTGTGCCGTACAGGACTTGCTCTAACCGGAATGGTTTCAATAAATCCTCTTTTGCATTGTTTGTAAATGGTGCCCTGCTTTGATGTTGCAGGTTATACAAGACTTTGGGATTTTTTGACAGCCCTTTGAGTGACCTCCTCAAGGCAGAACGCCCCTCCTTGGGAGGGATCCAGGAGTCCTGGTGATGCTTTGATGGCTGAGGTGCTGCCTGCTGCCCTGTTCTGCTGCAGGCAGCTCATGGACCAGGAAAAGGCAGTGTGTGGAGAGGCTGCAGTTAGATAACGAGGCTGGGCCAGCCCATCCCTGCCCCCCACCTGGGCTCTGTGACCTGGTTTTACACCCCAGATTCCCTCTGCAGTCCATCAGCACGAAAATCTCATGCCGTGGTTTGGATTTGGATCAAGCCGGAGGGAGACGCGTGGCGGGCGCTGTCTCCTGCAGCGCGGGACCATCTGTCACTGCCCCTGGCTGCCAGCACCGAGGACCCCAGCTCCATCCTGGGACCGAGGCTCCAGCAGCTTCCCCTGCCCCAGGGGCCTCTGTCTGCCCAGCACGGAGCTGAGAATGCCCCTTGCTCCGTGCCAGGCTCTGCGGCAGGGCAGGATGTCATCCCCAGCATCCCTGGTGTTCGTTAGCCAGGATACAGCATGGCACCTCTTTGTCCTTTTGGGGCTGGAGCTGTGCCCAGCTCTGCTCTGTGGGTACGTGTGGAGCAGCTGGGCTCCAGGGCTGAGCACTGCTGGGCATCAGCCCCCCTCTCCTTTATGTAACCACCAGCGATAATCCTCTGCAGCTGGGGCTGTGCTCCCGGGAAGGGAATAATCCTGCCGTGAGATCCTCAGCCTTGCTCAGATTAACAGTCCATGGACAGGAGAGTGGCTCAGCTGCCAGCCGTGCTCCTGGTGCCCGTGCCAGCCACAGGGCAGCCCCTTCCAGAGGCCTTTTTGTCCCTCCCAGGGCGTGGGTGGCACACCTGTAAGGCCTGAGTGCCCTCAGCCGTGCCAGGCTGGTAGCTGCCCCTCGGAGCCCCAGATCCGTGGGTGCTGGCTGTGCCATGGGCACACGTGTTGGGGGGCTGGTCCCCTCCCGGCTCTGCTCCCCTGCTGGCTCTGCAGGCGTGGGAGGAGGACGTCCCTGCCAGCCCTGAGCTCACAGTCCAGCCCGGACAAGTGGGCAGCGCTTTGTGCCCCTCCCACCCTGCCAAGGCCTCCCTGGCCCCCTCCCCACAAACCACGGGAGCCAGCGGTGTTTCCCGAGGGGGTTTTACTGTGTCGTGCCCGGGCTGGGGGCGGGAGGAGGGGGTGACCCCGCACCAGGCCGGCTGGGTGCGGCTTCCCCGAGGGACAGGAGGGCGTGGGGACGTGAGCGGGGGCTGCGGCGGGGCCAGCCTGGCTCCGGGGGCCTGGGGGGAGTATGGCTTCTCTCCTTCAGTGCTACTGCCGGCAGGGTCCTGCGGCGGGGCTGGGTGTGCTGGGTCGGGGCGCTCCCGTACTGCCGGGGGGCTGCGGCTCTCAGCTCTCCTCCTCGGGGACGGGGGCGGTGGAAGGGCTCCTGCTCCTCTCCTCGGCATCGCCCGCCGGCAGCAGCAGGGCCGGGCTGGGGCTGGAATGCCGCTGTTTGCGCATGAAGGGGAAGACCCTGCGGGTAGAACGCGGTCAGAACCGGCGGGGACCACCCGTGGTGGCCCCACGGGACGTCCCCTGCCCTCACCGCTTCTTGGTCTCCGGGGGAATGATGGCCTCGGCCAGGAGGTTCTTGTAGAGGTCCGACTTGAGGAAGCGTGGGTAGGAGTCCTGAGAGAGCGGAGACGTCAGGATCCTGCCCAGCCCCGCACTGCCCAGCCCCGCCCTCACCCACCTTCTTCATCAGCATGTAGATGTGCATCTGGGCATCGTCCATCACGTAGCGATGGGGCGTCTTGATGCCCTCCAGGGTCCGCTCCATCGTCTTGCTGTCGATGTTCACCCAGCGCGTGGCCCCGGGAGCCAGGAACTGCCTGGGGAGCCACAGACGGCGGTGAGCCCGGCCCGCCCTGGGCAGGGCCCCGTGACCGCCCCCAAACCTTCCCTCCCGAACCCACTGGCACTCACTGGTAGATGGAGTCCACGATCTCAGCGATGCGGGACTGCTCCCCATAGCGCAGCTCCTCACATGCCTCCCAGAAGCTCAGGTTCTCAGCTGGGGAGGGGGACATGGCGCTGGGAATGGGGACACGGCACTGGGCACCCCTCATGGGCAACCCCCAAAGGCCACCGTGGCTGGGCATGTGCCCCCGTGGGACAGAGGCAGCTGGGGCAGTGGAACCAGGGAAATTGGGTGGATTAGCTGGGAGGTACTGGGATGTGGGCTGAGGAATGGCAGGACACGGTCATGGGTTGGTTTGGTGGTGTTGGGATTGGACAGTGGATTAGGCAGTACTGGGACATGGTGGGTTTGCTGGTGTTGGGTCAGAGTGGTGGGTCTGGGCTGCCAGCACAGAGGTGTTTCTGGGCTGGGGCTGGGCCCCCTCACCACTGAACTCCTTCTTGAGGAACTCCAGGAGCTGTGCCCGGCCCAGGGGGTCGTTGATGAGCTCACTGAAGTTGAAGCCCCAGCGCTCCACGCGCAGCTTTGTGGGAGTTGTCACTCTGTTGGTGACAGTGGCATTGGGGCTGGCAGCCTATGGAGCCTGCATGACCCCACAGTCCCCACCAGCCTGTCCTGCAGACGGGGGTTCTGGGGCACCTGGGGCTGGGGCACTTACGTGGGGGCATTCATGGCCCAGTACGTGGTGTCATCCGTGATCCAGGGGTTGCTGGGCAGGCAGCCAGACATGATGGGGTCGTGGGGCACATACTGCTCATTGAACTTGATGTACCTGCCAGGAGTGGTGGCTGGAGGAGACCAGGGCCACCAACCCCAGCCACCGTGGGGACATGATGGGGATGAGGTGGGGATGTGCCCAAGCTGTGCAGAGCCTCAGCTCCACTCCCTGCTGAGGGCTGGGGTGCAGTGGTGCCAGCACCAGCTGCTGGGATGTGGGTGCCCCTGTCACCCTGAGAGGGACCCAGCTGTGGCTGGGGCAGCTGCTGCCACTCACCCCTCAAGGCAGATGGAGGACTTCACCCTGGTCCTGGCCATGGCCTTCCTGCAGTACTCGATCTGGGGCCAGGCGCAGGGGAGATGTTGGGGTGCCTGGCAGCTCGTGCCCCCCAGGAGCTGCCCCCACCCCTCGCTCCACTCACCTCTCGCTTGTAGTAATCCATGTTCTTGGTCTGCAAGAGACACACAGGGCTGGGTGAGGGCACAGTGGGACCAGGACACTGTCCTGCCACCACCACCCTGGACAATCCAGCACCCAGTCCCCACCCCGGGACTCTGCGCCCCATCCCTGTGGCCTCCGGCCTCATTCCCCCAGCCCTCCTGGCTCAGCCATCACAGCCCACAGAATGAGCCCTGGCTTCCCCCTCCACACCCCAGTGTGACACCAGCCCTAGGTTAGTGACACTTACGTGGGCAGAGGACACGGCACAGCGCAGAGAAGAGAAATTGGGTGGTTAGTGAGGACAGCCTGGGGGTGCTGGGGCAGCATTAGTGGGGTCACAACACAAGGAAGGGCTTGGTGGCTGCTGCTGGCACCCCAGGGTGCAGCACAGCTGCCCTGCAGGGATCAGAGGTGCTGGCACAGAGGGGTGCTGGGTGCAAGGACAAACACATGCTCGGGGTGTGGGACACATGGATGTTAGCAGAACTGGGGCCCACCCCTTTCCCCAAAATGTGGGCACAGCCTGGAGTGAGATGGATGGGCACCCACGGGGGCAGCTCTTCACCCCGGCACAGGCACTGGGTGTGCCCTGTGCCCGCTGGCTGCCCCAGGGGTGCCTGGACACCCCCACTCACCAGCTGGACACGGGTGGTGTGGCAGTTCCTGCGCTCGGGGCCCTGCTCCAGCACGTTAGGGGCTCCTGGCTGCAACGACAGCATCATGCTGGGGGCTGGGGGGAACCCCTGCACCCCTCAGCCCCGCTGCTCAGGCCGGGGCCGTGAGTGGTGCCAGGGCTGCACCTCCAGCCCGGCCCCCCTGCCCCGCGCTCACCGGGGGCCGGTTGACGAGCCAGTACGCCTGTTCCTGGCAGTCGATGACGATGCGGTCGCCCTTGCGCCGCTGCTTGGCTGCCCTGGCCGTGCAGAGGCAGCGGGGAGGTGCTGGCACCCTGCCTGCCCGGCACCCAGGGGTGCTCCATCCATCCCTGCCGCTCCCCGGGGCGCAGCGGTGCCGGCCGTGCCCGCACTCACCGGAGCTGCTCCCGTGCCTGCATCACCACGAAGTCCCACGTGTGGTTGATCCGCTTGTGCAGGAGGTTGTAGTTGTCCTGGGGAGCGACAGGTAGGCACGGTGCGGCACTGTCCCCTTGCCTGGCTCCGGCTGCTGCTGCCGCTCCAGCACAGGGACAGCCGGTGTCCCCCGCCACGGGTGCTGAGCCGAGACTCCCCCAGTGCATCGCAGCTGCGAGGAGGGCACCGCTCACCTTCTCGTGCTCGATCAGATCACCCTGCTTGCGGATGTTCTTCTTGGCCAGGTAAATGGCTGCAAGAGAAGCGGCGGCGCTCAGGGCGCTGGGAGGGGTCGCAGCCCGTGCTGGTGCCAGCGGCACGGCGGCACCTACCGTAGTCCAGCTCCGTGGCCGGCCACTTGGTGCTGGTCCAGAAATAGGGGGTCTGTGGGGGAGGAAGAGGCTGAGGAGCTGCCATGGGGTGCCACGGTGCCCAGCCGGGGCAGCCCCGGCCTTTGGGCTGTGCCGTGCCCCGGTGCGGCGGTACCTGGAAGCGGTAGGGCGACTCATCGGCCCGCAGCACCAGGCTGCGCGGGTCTTTGAGCGGGTAGATGTAGCCGTGCTTCACGATGAGGTTGCCGAGGTGCAGCGACTCTGCGGAATGGGATTGGGGGCTGCGTGGAGGCTCGGCAGCCCCAGGTGCCCCCCCTCGGTGCCAGCTGCCTGTGCCAGGGCACTCACCCTCCTCGGAGATGCCGTACTTCTGGATGAGCCACTCCACGATGTCGTTCCCTAGGGACGGAGGCTGCGTTAG